CCACCCGGCCAGTGACCCTCATCCCAATACGGAATCCTTTCCAGAAGGCAGCTATCTATCTATCTATCTATCTGTCTGTCTATCTATCTGTCTATCTATTTATCTATCTATCTATCTACCTACCTATTTATCTATCTATCTATCTATCTATCTAGCTATCTATCTATCTATCTATCTATCTATCTATCTATATCTCTCTCTCTCTCGGTCATTTTGTTCTTTACAAGGTGACCGAAACAATGGACAAGCCTGCTTCAGCGATAGCACTTGCATCTCAGGCCACACTATGTCACGCTGATGCACTTGATTCTACCTGCTTCATGCGGTCTGGGACGGCGACTGACGACTCCGATCGAGGCAGCGACATGGCCTGCAAGAACAGTTGAAAGCTGTGCTCCCATCGCCAGAATCAAGATGCTCGAGATGTCCTTCGTAGCCCATTGGATAGCAACCGCTTTGGGCTGCCACTGGCAGAGGGCTGCTGGCTCCTGAGTCGTTCGAGAGCCACCCTCAGTAGCACGCTCTCAGTCTGTTGCAGCAGCACACCGTCAAACAAAGTGGATGCTTGTGGCCTCCTCTGCCCCCATTGAAAACTTTCGAAAGGTGGCTAATCAAATCTTTACGCAGGTGGGGCTTGAATCCCTCGAAGGTCCTCCAAGTCCTTGAGGTTAAGCTGAGCAGTTGCGCCACAACACAATGCCACACGGACATCCTGACAGCACATGCACTACGACAGTAACAAGGAAGATAAAACTCTCCTTTTGGGAAAATGACTCGAAAAGACCGCAGTGCGAATCCGGTGGAACTTGGTGTCCAAATAGATTACATTCACATGACGTCTCTTCATGCGATACCTTTTCGTTGAGACAGTCAGTCAATGAATCATACGCCGCGCGGCGCGTGGACTGGTATGGCTTGCTTGACGCACCGTACGATGCCAGACAATGGGGTCATGTACAAGTCTGGTTACTTCACGGTGGCCGCCAAAATACCGAAAAGCATTACTTCTTACCTCAGAAACCCGTCCCCGTCGGTCGCCATACTCGCCTCACATACCTGCTGGTAGCAGGCTGAAGAGTTCCAGGTATGAACACGGATACGTGCAAAGGATGGTCCAGTGGAGATCTTAAGACCTTGCCGAACAAAGAACAAAAGCAGCTGGCGTTGCACGAGGATCTCAGAGGCGGCACTGCAGCGTGCACGATGTAAAACAGCCGTCTTTGGAACACGAGAAAGAAGACAGGGTGAAATGCCAGTGATACGACGTAAACATCGGTTTTGAAACCCATCCAGGCGTCTCCGTTCGGCTGCGGAAAGGCATAAACAACTCACACCATACATCAGTTTGCATTCAACCAAAATTCTGTTAATATGAACCTTCCGATGAACAGGAAGGGAAGAGTGCTTCCAAACTTTATGCAAAAAGTTGAAACAACGTTCTGAAAATTGAGGATGCAACGGAACTGGCCTTCATGTGCGGTGCTTTTGTGTTCCGTCTTGCTATCTTATCTAAATTAGCAGCAATGATGATACGCAACCGAGCATGGGTAATAGCCGAATGCTTCGTGATCTATACAGCAACGCGCATGGATGCATTAATGAGATTCCACTGTCCTTACCTACCATCTATAGTGAAACCACAGCAAGGAGAACGGGCTCGGGATAGTCAAGGCTTCAAGCTTCGCAGTGCATCCAGGTCGTCGCTTCTTGCTCCTCCGCACAAGTTGTTACATGGTGCATTGCCATGAGAACTGCCTTTTGTAGGCGGGCGTGGCGGGAGGGCATCTCTGAGCCCCGGTCACACAAACTTCACATGCAGCACAAAGTCAAGGCTTCAAGCTTCGCAATGCTTCCAGGTCGTCGCTTTTTGCTCTTCCACACAAGTTGTCACATGGTGCATCGCCATGAGAACTGCCTCACCCGTTGAACCCAGTCATCCCGGGCTCAAAGCCGCATCAGCGGAAATAAAAGTGAACCACGTTCGCTCGGGAAACTCAAACCTGCTTAGCCAGGCTGCCTGGTCCAACACTGCACGAAAAGAGCCAGCAATGGCAAGAACCTTTTGACGAAGAGCCAGTGGGAGGCGAGGCAAGTAAAGATGGCTGAAGGCGGAGGCACCAGGAGCAGGCTCGGTGGTCAAGCAGGTCATCATGCCGGGGTGCCAATGAACAATGACTCAATGACTCAGGAAGCAAAGGACCCAGACCCATGGTAATAATCTTTCCAGATCATGCAGTCGCACTCAGGCGATTTGTAGCAGTTGAAGACACGGACGGCATCGTCACCAGACCTGGTCGCCGTAATCCTGTTTGAGTTACAGGAGGCCTGCCCCATCGCAAAGCACGCTCCCTCATCTCTTTGAGTTTCTCGCGGCTTAGGCCAGGGATCTCTAGGGGAGGCTCACAATGCAGCAAATTATCCGGCTCAGGAAAACAATCTAGAGGCCGGAGCCTGAAATTTTCAAGCGCGCAACACCAACGTCGCTGCAGTGGGCTGCCGGCTGCAACCGGAGTCACTGCAAGAAGGGCGGGTCCAGGAAGGAGGAACCGCAGGCGAGGTTTCTTTAGGAAGGCTCGAAGAAGCAGGAAGAGGTAGGGCCAGGCTGGGGACTGCATCATGAAAAGAAGGATCATAAGGGTCGACGGGCCATCAAGTGCTCGCAAAGCTCACCGAGGCAGGCAGTCAGAGTATGGTTTCGGCGTTCAGCGGGCCTCACAACAAAGGGTTCCACGCCACCGCATGCCCTACAGAGCTTGTGCACGTAGTCAACTGCAGCGGCTTGGGCTCTGTAGGCCGGCACGACAGAAAACGCAAAGGAGGAGGCGAGGGCCCGGCAAACAGGAAATTGCCGGCTGGAAGCATCCCGTGAAAGGCACCGGCAAAGGAAAGACGTGCAAAATAGGGGCGAGAAAAGCCCCAAAACAACCCCTGGTCCGGGCAGCAAGGCTGAGTCCAAAAGCTCTGAAGCCAAGAAGCTGGGCACTCGCAAGGGGGGAGCCGGGAGGCACAACGTAAACCCGACAATCACTTGCGGTCGCCAAAAGTGGTAAACACTCGGACGGTGGAATCACACTTGCAGCGAAGCACCACGTACAGGCGATTGCAAATAGCCAAGCCTGGGGTGGCCGAGGGGAAGTCGCAAAGGCCACGAAAAACAGCACCTGCAAGCCAGCGTTCCAAGCACAACGGGCATGAGGGCGACGGTCACAGATCTGCAAAGAAGAGACAAAGAACAAAGCGTACCCTGGCAAGGGATCGCCCACCTGAGGAGGCTGAGGAACATTGAGATCCGAAGGGCCTCCATCAGCAGCTGGCCCGCGAAGCACAGACGGCCTAGGGTCCGGAGCAGAAGTCGAAGGGGCGCCAGGAAGGGCACCGGAGGCAGAAGGTGAGGAGCCAGTCGTCCTCAGGGTGTTCCACAAGTTCCCAAGCCTCGGAATTTTCCTCAAGCTCTGGCCGACCTGATGGTCTTGCAAAGCCGCAAAGACCGAGGGCGAGGCACGATAGCAGAGGGCTCGGAAGAAGGTGGTTCGACAAAGGCCTGGTGGGCCGAAGGCACGAAGAGAGCCGACCTGAAGAACCAAAGGGCCAAAAGAGACCTGAAGAAGGTGCCGGAGCAGAAGGCAAAGGCGAGGACCAAAAGGGAACGGCTGCAATGCGCCGGGCACCCTATACCCCACCAGTTGTTACTAGAACCCTGAAGCAAAAAGCCTAGGGTTTCAGCAACACTCATCCTTGAGCCCCGGTCACACAAACTTCAGATTCAGCCTTACGGAGTCAGTGGGGAAAGAAGAACAGGATTTGCACATGATTCTTTGGAAGCTTGCAGTTCAAAACTGGCAGTGTTGGGCACTCCTTTCTAGTTTCGTAAACACAGAAGCAGGCTCCGTGATGCAAGAGTAATGCTGTGCAAAACCCTGCAGCAATGAAAACAAAATGTGAGACAAGCGCGACTTTTGCACAAGCGCAAAAGAATGTCACAGTATCATGGTCATCGCCCCCAAACAAAACAGGAAATTGGCAAACCATGCTACATGTGCCTCGCCGGCCCTGTATGATGCAGTCCGCACCTGACTGGCAATTTTGACTCTTCACCATGAGCCAGACATCTCGATTCAATATGGCTTATAGCCGGATGAAACACAACTTGAGGCTCTTCCCTCTCTGCCTGCAGATTTCCGCCAATGTCACGCAGGTCACGAAGTCCGATGGCTGTCAAACTTCCCAATGGTACTCCTCGTGCACAGCGCGATTGCTGTGACAGTTCAAGTGCGGTCTTGTCAAGTCAGCATCGAACAAGCGGGCCTTCTAGGACCAGTCGTTCGCTTGAAGAGGGGCCAACCTTTGAGCGAACGCAACTACGAGATGTGCTGAAAATCTGCAACTGTGTCGGACCTTCGTTTGACGATGGCGCTCTGCTGCTACTACCGGACAACAGACCAGGAAACATCTGCACCGATTGCAAGTTCCATGATCGCTCTCAGAATGGCACTTGCCGAGCAATGCGAAGAGTTTGGGCCGCTGTAACACAGGCATCAAGGCCCTTCTGAACCTCGGAAGGGAGGCAGAGCAACAAAGCGTTCAGTACTTTGCAAGTCTTAGAGCGATGGCTTGATATTGTGTCAGCCGATTGAGAGTTTGCTGTGCCATACCTTGAGAAAGACACTTCGTGGAAGATGTTTCCCATGCTCATCTAAATTGGCTTTCTTTAGGGCAGCATTGGGTGCTTTCGCTTGTTCACATGGCTGCAAATTGGGGACAGCTTCAGTGGACACAGCTGATCTCGTTTCATCTCGGAGTTAGGAACACTGCCGCTCACGACCGTCTTGACTCAAACTCTTGTGCATGACGACCACTAAGTGACTGGCTTCAGAAAGTGCTTCAGGAAGCTGCACTTTGGCAAGCTTGTGTTTCAAGGTATCTTTGGCCTGACATTCTTGTTAGCAGCATACATTCCATAATCCGAAGCCATTCAGGCCTTGTTCACTTGAGCCTCATCCGACTCGAGCTCCACCTACCATAGGGTCATAGGGAGCTTCGATGAAGTTACTACTGCACAAGGCTCCGTCGAAACATGCCTGCAGAAGCTGGCAGGCCCCCTTAACAGTCAGCGGATCCCATCCTGAGATTGGAATGCCAGACACGCAAACCGCGCTGTGCAGTTCTGCCATGCCGATGCGGCGCGCAAGACTCGGCGAAGCTCGCGGCAGGCATCTATGTCGTGCTCAGACAAGGCCTCGGATTCGAGAAAAACGGACAGGCCACGTTCACAAACGTAGTGATCGCATTGACATTGCCTCCACGATCTTGGCAGCGGCATCAAGCCGAGAAAAAGCTGCCTTTGCGTCACTTGCACTGCCGTTCCTGACCTGCAGCCATGCTTGACAGAGACTCGACAAGCTGTGACAGTGAGAAGGCTTACAACTGCCTTGTCCGGATGCACCCGCAAAGCCAGCCGCTTGTACCTAACCGAGGTTCCATCATAACCGAGGTTCCATCATTTCCATCCCCATCCGTTAGTCAGAAAGCCGTCTTGCGTCTCATGCGCACGTGGCTTTTGCTTCTGCCGGATCTGGACCTTTCTCACCAATACCCAACCTGAAGCTGAAGCAAGGCCCGACACTCAGCTGTGTGTTCCGCGATGTGAACACTTCAAGTTCCAAGCACCGCAAAGGCATCAGGAGCTCGAAGAATCCGGCAAACGGGATCTTCATCAACCTCTTCCGCCTCGCATGTAGCAAGGATCATCACATCACCCGCGCCCGATCTCTTCCAAAAGGTCTTTGCAAGTCACACCTGCGCGTCCCAGACACATTTTGCCCGCTGCAACCCATTGCTCCCAATCAACGCTCCTGATACTTTCGGCTTACTTACAAACTCATCGGAAGCAGCTTTGTCGCAGATTTGCACGGAATGCCGTCCTTGTTCGGATGCGTGGCCTCTTGGCAGCTGCAACAGCTTGCTAACCTCGACAGGCAGCATTCTATCTTGATTCAAGCTAGTGTGCGAATGTGTGAGTGTGTGTGTGTGTGT